AATTGTTAATTTTTAGCGACATATGCAAAAAATGGTTACAAAAAATTATTTTTAGCAACGATTTTACTATGACTTTTTTTGAATAGGACTTAATCGGAATTAAACCCAATTATTAGGACTTATTGATAATTTATCTTAAAAAAATTGAGTTTTATAATATAAATTTCATAATTGTACCCATGAAGACATTATAAATTATGTCAATTTAAAAAAAAAATATAAAATTAATTATGTAAAATCAAAATTTTCTTTCATATCATTGTGGATAATTTTTTACTATAAAACTTTTATGATCATTGTGGATGAATTATGGTACTTAAGTATGTATTATTTTGTTATAATAATATGAAAAAGTTCAGGGGAATCATAGTACAGTGGAGCAGAAAAAAATTACAAAAAATATGAGGAGTATAACTTATTTTGTGGTTGCGTGCAAGTCAAAAGTTGTGGGGTTGCACCTCTCCATCAATGTCGGCTTTGAGGTTTTTAGGACTCAAAGCAGGCATTAGTCTCCGTTTGGAAAGTGAGTTGACTTTTTAATTTTTTAGTTATTTTAGTCTGAGATTAAAAAGTTTGGTTTGGGAAAGATTTTTTGACTTTTTAATTTTTTTGACTTTTTTTGTGAGAGAGAAGTGTAATGATTATGGGTTGGATTTGATATTTTTTTGTGGTTAAAATAGCCTATTTTGTTTTTTGTGACTATTTTAGCCTCTAACCCACCAAAACCAACTTCCCAAACCATGTCTAAATATGTTACCTTTCATACATATTAAAAAAAATGATACTCACAAAATTTACTAAGGTCAAGTTTGACATCCTCCAAAAAATTCAAAAAGTCAAAAAGTCACTATCCTATTTAAATCACATCATTTTATTTAAGTCACATCACTTTTCTAACACATCACTTTAAACCCAACCCAAATTCAACTCATATTTCATAAAAAGTCAAAAAATACACTTATTTGGTCTTTCCAAACTTGGCCTAAATTTTGGTTAAATATATATCAAATTTTACAATAACGAAAAGGACCAAAACATAAGCTGGAGTACTAAAAAAAGTGAACAAAAAGTAACAAAGTATCATTTGAAAAATACTTTGTTAGAATCATGATTGCCCTGTTTAATTAATTTATCAAAAGTTACTAATGTCATCATCGTCATAATGTTAACAGTTGATCTTCCTATCCAAAAGAAACTTGATCCTCAATTATAACAAGTCCAATAATCAATAAACATAAAATAAAATAAAATAAAATAAAAATTCATGTAATTATAATAGGAAAAAAAATTATAATCATCATCAAACAAATATTTCATCAAGCAAAAACTTGAAACTTGTTTTATATAACAAATATGATATGAGACAAATAATAAAAAAAAAACTAAAAATTATATAAAATGTTCAAAAATATAATAGTTCTCTATTAATTTCAAAAAATTTAGTTGCATAGTTCTATAAAATCAATAAATAAGTAAAATAGAGAGGATAAGAAAATATCTTCGCTATTTGTGATGGATGAAAGTTGAGAGAAGATCAATAATATTGAGTTAGGCCTCCAATTTCTCCTTTTTTGAATTTCAATTAATCTTTGGGTGATTGTGTGTTGCTTGCTTTGCTCTAGGGCTTAAAGTCAAGTCTCTGTTTCCTCCCCCAATTTTGAATGCCAAACAAAGAGGCAACGAACATCAACAAAGTATTATAGATTGGTCGGGCCTCAAATTATTTACACTTAGGCCTCGTTTGAGAACTACATGTTTTGGAACATGCTAATTTAATAACTTTTTGACTATTTAGCTAAAATATGAGTTAAAAAAAATTAATATGTTTAGAATAACTTTTTGACTTTTTACGAAAAGACGTGCAAAAAGTAGAGAGAAAAGACAATTTTTGACTTTTTGATATGAATTGTTGGTTTTTTTGACTTTTTTAGTAACTTTTTAACTTTTTGGCTAAACCAATCGCTTCCCAAACGAGGCCTTAGTTTTAAAAGTTTTTATAATTTACATTGGGGCCTCAAGTTTTTGCCTTTTTAATTCAATTTGGGTTTTGCATTAAATATTATTTTGAACCTTTAAAATTCAAGTGAACTTTTTTTTTTTTTTTGTGGATTTATATTTTAGATTGGGCTTCTTATTCATTTAGTTTAGTTTGAGCCTTTTATTCATTTAGTACTTTGAACTTGTAATATTAAATTGGGTCTTTTTTTAATGGACTAATATAAGATTATAAATATTTTTGAAGCTCTGTTTTCAGTCTTTTTTGGAGGGCCAAAGCAAATTCTTTGTGGGCTTGCCCTCCATGTTTGTGGTTTTTTTTTTTTTTTTCCAACCTTCACTAAAAAAATGATTTTCCCAAAAAATTTAGGTGCACAAAAAGAACCAAATACATAATACATATATGATACAAATATTTATATTTATAGATGTAAACATGCTTATAATTATATATATAAATATTTTGTCTTATGTCTGTGCATTCCATGTTAAATTATTTGTGTGTGCACATAACATACTTGTAATAATATAGATATAATAATAAATCAACTTATATTTTGAAGAAAAAAATGGATTAGTGAAAAACTTTATACATTTTAATTATCAATTTCATTTTTTTTTCATAAGTATGTAATTATTTTTAAAAAAGACAACTAATTTGTAATTTTTTAAATAATACAGATATAGAGATTGGCATGATTAATCTTCCTCTGAACCAAAAAAAGAAAAAAAAAAGAAAAAGAAAAATGAGGGAACTTATGTGTAGGTCCTAATAGGTGTATTTATTGTCAAATAGGCCCTATAATAATTAATGACGTTTTTCATCAAACACTACTAAAAAACGTTACTAATTATTAATTTTCAATGACAATTTAAAAATTGTCATAAAAAATGTCACTAATTATAAATTTTAATGACAGTTTAAAAAAATCGTCCCAAAAAAACGTAACTAATTTTTAATTTTTAGCTACAGTTTAAAAAATTCATCACAGAAAAAAGTCACTAATTATAAGTTTTAGCGATAATTTATAAAAATAATGATAAAAAAGTCACTAATTACCAATTTTTAACAACATACAAAAAAATTATTTTTAATCACAATTTTATTAAAATTTATTTTCAATAAAACTTGATAGAAATCAAATCTACCTATTAACCTCTATTGATAGTTTACCACCCAAAAAAAAAAAAAAAAAATTGCTCCGGGAACATCACAGTATCCTCACTCAAAAAATAAATAACAAATTTTCTATCCACAACTTGGCATCACGAACATTAATTTGGATGCACACAAATGGAGGAAGCCAAGTGGTATTCCATGCCTCTCAGCAATTTTAAGCCTTGTTTGGCTTAATCTATTTTAGTTTGTTTTTTTATCTTTTTTGAGTCACATCAATTAATATCTACTCTCTACTTTTCTACTCATCTTTTTATAAAAAGTTAAAAAGTATTTAGGACATCCTAAACCACCTCTTAATCTTCCTCGATAAGGCTTCGTTTGGAAAGTAGATGATCTTTTTGACTTTTTGGTTTTTTTAGTTATTTTAGTTTGGGATTATAAAACCTAGTTTGGGAAGAATTTTTGACTTCTTTAATTTTTTTGTGAGAGAAATAATGTAATGATTATGGGTTAGATGTGATGTTTTATCTCATTGAATTAAAAAATGTATTTTATTTTTTATGATTAAAATAACAAAAAAAAAACTGGCTTTTAGGTACCGTTTGATAACACTTACGTTTTCAGTTTATATTTACAAAAATTTTAAAAACTCAAATAAAAATTTGTTTGGTAAATTTTTGATTTATAAATCAATGGTCTCAGTTTATAAATTTGGCCAAAAAATATAAACTAAAAAAATGAGTTTACGTTTTGAGTTTTTTTTTTTTACCACCCAACACCAGCCACCACCCGCCACCATTTTCCATCATCGTCTTCCGCCACTACCACCCACCCTCCACCACCACTCACCACCCACCTGCCACCACCCGCCACCACCACCCACCTGCCACTCACTCGCCACTACCACCCACCCTTCGCCACCACCACCACTACCACCCACTTGTCATCCACCCGCCACCACCCACCACCTGCCACTACCATTCACTGCCCACCACCACCACCCGCCACTTACTTGCCACCACCACTCACCACCCACCTGCCACCACCACCCACTCGCCACCTACCTGCCAGCCACTTATATAGTTTTTTAATCACACATTTTAATTAAAGTGTGATTATATATACACTATTACTTTTTAATCACACTTTTTAAATAAGTGTGATTATATATATATTTTTTAATCACACATTCTAATTAAAGTGTGATTATTTATATAGTTTTTAATCACACCTTCTAATTAAAGTGTGATTATATATACACTTCTACTTTTTAACCTACTCGTTACCACCCACCACCCGCCACCGTCACCCACCCACCCATGCCACCTACCCGTCACCACCCACCACCACCCGCCATCCACCACCCACTTGTCACCACCATCCACCCACCCGTCACCACTTTCTACCACCGTCTTCCGCCACCATCACCCACCACCATTTTCTACTACCGTCTTCCGCCACCACCACCCACCATCATTTTCTACTACTGTCTTCCGCCGCTACCACTCGTCTCCATCCACCACTCGCCACCACTTGTCATTTCTTACTCTTTTTATATTTTTAAATATTTTGTCTCAACCAAACACCTTTGTAATTTATATTTTTTTAAACATAAATAAAAAATAAATAAAAATTAATTTATAAAATTTTTATAAATATAAACTGTAAAGGTAAAGTTACCAAACATGTTCTAGCCGAAGCCTAAATAAACAAAAATGCTTGGGAGCACTAATTAGTGCTCCCACTAATTAGGTGGTAGTGGGTCCTGTCATTAATGATGTGATGTTTTGATCTTGGAGTTGTATTTTTTTTTTTAATGCATTAGTGCTATTAGTGGTGATATTTTTAATGGTATGAATCATTATTGCTAAATAAATAACAAATTTTCAATCCACAACTTGGCATCACAAACACTGAACTTTTGACGCAGACCAATGGAGGAAGCCAAGTGGTACTCCATGCCTCTCATCATATTCTCTCTCCTCCTACTCTTCTTCCTCTTGAAGCTATTGACATCAAAACAAGAGAGATACAAGAATCTACCACCAAGTCCACCTGGGCTTCCCATCATAGGCCATCTTCATCTACTGAAAGAGCCACTGCACCAAACTCTTCAAGCTTTTTCATACAAGTATGGGCCCATCCTCCTCCTCCGGTTGGGACCCAAAAAGGTGGTGGTCGTCACCTCTCCTTCCGCCGTTGAAGAATGTTTCACGAAAAACGATGTGGTATTCGCCAACCGGCCCCGGAGCCTCGCCGGAAAACACCTCAACTACAACAACACCAATATGGGTGTAGCTCCATATGGTGAACTTTGGCGCAATCTCAGGTAGATTTGATTTGAGTTGGGTAATATATTGGTTTGATTCTAAAATATACTGTAAAAATATTCAATTTGATTTGATTGATTCGAATCAATCAAAAGGGAAAATGATTGAGAGCCCTAAAAAAGTTGCCCCTAATACCCCTAATTTCCAAATTTGGAAACTGTTTTTTTTTTTTCTTTCTTTTTTCTTTTTTTTTTTTCTTTCTCTTTACCCGAAATGGAATTTCGAGCCATTCGGGGCTCTCCATTTCGGGCCCTCAATCACCGCCCAATCAAAAGAGTGGTAGCTCGAATACCAATACCGTGGCTCGAAAATGGCCCGAATTTTTTTTTCTTTTTTTTTCTTTTTTTTTTCTTTCCTTCCTTCTTCCTTCCACCTCATGATTTCAGAGAAAGAGAGAAGCAAGAGAAAAAGAGGAGGAAGAGAGGAGAAGAAAATAAAGAGAGGGGGCCATGGACGGAGATCACCACAACCCGCCATGGATGGAGATCGCGAACCACTCGAACCCAACCCACCGCCATGGGCGGATGATTTTTTTGATTCAGTGGGTTGATTTTGGGTTTGGTTTTGATTTTTGATTTTGATTCTGTGGGTTTGATTTTGTTTTGATTTTGATTTTGATTTTGTTGTTGATGATGATGCTCTGTTGTTGATGATGGATGTTGTTGTTGATGAGATGCTGTGTTGATGAAGAGGTTTTTGTTGATGATGATGCTATGTTCTTCTCCTCTCTGTTCTTTTCTTTGTTTTTGTTTTTTTTTTTATGAATCTTTCTTTCCTCCTTTCTTTTCTTTTAAATCTGTTGGCTGGCAGGAAGAGGAAGGAAAAAGAGAGGGCAAAGGAAGAAAAGGAAGAAGAGAGGGGGAAGGAAAAAAAAAAAAATTGATTTTGATTTTGATTTTGATTTGAGTTTGGATTCAGAACAGAGGAAGAAGAGGAAGGAAGAGAGGGGAAGGATGAAGGGGGAAGGAAGAAAAAAAAAACCAGTTTTGGCACCTCGAACCATTCTTGCCTGGGTAAATTCGAGCTACGAATCGCTGTTGATCAAACTTATTCCAAAAAAATGTTTTAACCATTTTTGATAAAAGAAAATTAACAATGTTAGGTAGCTTAAAATTTTGTGTTTCAAATGGCTTAAATCTGTCAAAATAACGTCGTTTTGATAGATTTTGAATATAAAACGCGTTGTTTTGACAAATTTGAGTGATTTGAATTATAAAATTTTAAACTACCAAATATTTTCCTATATTATCTCCCATCCCTACCTTTTTTATTTATTTAAAATTTCATTAAATTTGAATAAAAATATGACGGTTGAAAATTTGATGTAAGATTCGGTTTACCAAATATTAGAGACAACGAAAAGGTATCTCAAAAAATTTCAAACCTTTCGTTGGATGACCCAAAAGCGTAAGATCCACTGGCCAGTCGGCTAAAAAAGGCTTCGAGATAATTTTTACGAGAAGATTTTCGTAGTCCATGGCATATGTTTGTTTGGTTTGACATTGATTTGGTGAAAATTCCGTCTCCGTTGATACAAGTCAGATGAAATGATTGGACTTCACTTTTAACTTTTTATTCAGCAATTTTGAATTTGATGAATTAATTGACGAAAGATTTGAGAGAATTTATGCTGTGTTTGGTTGAGAATTTGATAACAGATTTAAAAAATAAAAGGAAGAAAGAGCGTAAAACTAAGTGAAATATAATATTTCACTTATTTTTTTTCTTTCTATTTCTAAATTCTTTTCAAAATTTAGGAAAAATGTTTGGTTTTGTTTTTAAATTTAATTTGGGGCAATAGAAATGTGCAGTATAGTCTTGAGAACTCAGTTGGGTTGTTCGGAGGTTTACATTGCGTTTCGAACACGGATTTGTTCTCTCTTGATAAGGCGTTTACTGGTTAGGCATTTTATTCTTTTATAAGTGAAAGATTTTGTCAGATTTTCATTAAATTCTGAAATGGTGGGGATTATGGTGGGCTAATTAGCCCATGTAATCTTGTAAGTTTGGCTGTTTGGTGGTTTGGAATGAGGGTAAAGGGATCTCAAGAAGAACATTTCTGTTTGGTTGAGTTTTCACAAACTTATTTTCTGATTTTTTTTTATTTTTTATTTTTGAAAAATTAAAATTAGTTAGACAGAAATAAATGTCAAAAAAAGGTTGAATTTTTAAAAACTATTACTGTCCCTGAAAAGGGAAAATCATATGAAAATAACAAGCATTTTTGTTTTTTTTAAATTAGTTTTTGCTTTCTTGCTATGCTAACCACTGCTTTCTCTGTTTCTCCTCTCCTCTCTACTCTGATTGTAATGTTTGTGGTTATAATCAACGTATATTTTTTCTTTGCCCATCAAAAAAAAAAAAAAAATGAAAAAGAAAAAAAATGTGACATATTTTCACAAAAGGAAAATGTTATTCTTCTAAAATTTTCAGTCATTTATCATTGGTGTCAGTAGGAGTTTTGATTTTAAGAAATATCATAATGGGTTTTGTTATTACTTAATAGGTCTATAATTCTGTCACTATCATTATGTATGTAATATTTTGATTCAATTTATGTTTGTGTATTATTACTCTTTACAGAAACAATTCTACGTTTACATGTCCATTGTCTCTATTATGCATTGTCCATTGTCTCAGTAGAGGATTGGTTGGTCTTGGTTCTTAAAAACAAAAACCAACTATGTTTGGTTCGGTTTTGCATTTAGTTCTAATCTGAAGTACACTGACTCGTGCATACTCTAATCTCAGGCGTATTACGACCTTGGAGATGTTGTCGACTACTCGCCTAGATAAGACATCTAGTATACGAGGAGAGGAAGTGAAGTTTTTGATGAATCAACTCATGAAGAATTGTGGTAGTGGTGGGTATAGTAAGGTGGACTTGAACTCCAAGTTTTATGAGCTCTCATTTAATGCTATGACTATGATGATGATGGGGAAGAGGTTCTATGGAGAAAGTGTGGAGGATATTGAGGAGGCCAAGATCTTTCAGAATCTGATGAGAGAACATTTTGAACTTGTCAAGAAAGCAGATCCAGCAGATCTTTTTCCGGTTTTGCAGTGTGTGGATTTGTTTGGGACTCAGAAGAAAATGATAGCTAACGCGGAGAACATGGACAAGTTTTTGCAGAAACTAGTCGATGAACATCGGACAATCAGTGTATCAACAAAAATGAAGGCACTGATCCACAATTTGCTGTCTCTGCAAGATACAGAACCTGAGTTCTACACCAACGAGATTATATATGGGATTATAATGGTAAGATCCCTATGACATTGATTTTACTTTGAATAATATATAAGTTTTAGATAATCAGAAACCACTTTCCAGATTTCAGAATTATATTTCCCAAAAATACGGTATTAAATTTTTAATATTTATGCTACTTTTGAAACAGAGAGTAGTTTAATATGCTTCTATGTTTTTAGCCTTGAAATTAGAAACATTGGATTCCATTGCATTTGCTCTACCTTGTTGCACTAATTGGAGAGTTGGTAGCTCTCATGTGACATTATTCCAACATAGAAAAATAATAAAACATGTCAAACTCATTTTTTATCAATATTCAGTAGTAGTTGCACCAATGCAACTCTATTGCAACACAGAGAGTAGTTTAATATGCTTCTATGTTTTTAGCCTTGAAATTAGAAACATTGGATTCCATTGCATTTGCTCTACCTAGTTGCACTAATTGGAGAGTTGGTAGCTCTCATGTGACATTATTCCAGCATAGAAAAATAATAAAACATGTCAACACTCATTTTTTATCAATATTCAGTAGTAGTTGAAATTAGTGCATCAACCAGTTCATTGAGTCAGAGAGTAAGCACTAATTTTATTTTCTTTTATTTATTTATGATCAATTTCCTTTATGTATGACTGCCCTCATGAAGTGAAATATATAGTTGTGTTTGTGCATATACAATATATAATAGATCACAATAGGATGACATAACAGGATTCAACACTATTGATTGATGCCAAGCATGTGTAACACTATGATTTTGAATTTCTAATGTTATCATATTTTTTTTGTTAAGTAATTTGAAATCTACCCTCGTCTACACAGTTTTCTTTTTGGGCTTTGATAGGGACACAAAAATGGTGCTATAGAAATGAAATAGAACACTTTACATGGTGCATGGTGTGGACAGGTATTGCTAATTGCTGGGACTGAAACTTCATCTACTACTATGGAATGGACGATGTCACTACTCCTCAACCATCCAGATGCAATGACAAAAGTTAAAACAGAAATTGATGCTCACGTTGGACAAGATCGCCTCATAGATGAACAAGACTTACCCAAGCTAAATTACCTATCAAATGTAATAAATGAAGCACTTAGATTATATTCACCTGTCCCACTTCTACTTCCACATGAAGCATCTGAAGATTGTACAGTGGGAGGTTATGATGTCCCATGCGGCACGATGTTGATGGTAAATGCATTAGCAATTCATAGAGACCCCAAGATATGGGAAAATCCGACAAAGTTCATGCCAGAGAGGTTTGAATCAGAGAGTGCTGGAGATGGGTGTAGGTTGATCCCCTTTGGCAGTGGGAGACGTGGTTGTCCTGGGACTAACTTGGCAAAAAGGATTGTTGGGTTGGCACTAGGAGCTTTGATTCAGTCATTTGAATGGAAGACAATTAATGAAGAGGAGGTGGATATGGCCGTAAGTTCTGGCCTCACCATGCCCAAGTTGAAGCCTTTGGAGGCCATTTGCAAGCGACGTCCATCCATGAGCAGGCATTATCTTATATGAGGTTTTTTTTTTTTCTCTGGTGGGGATTGAAAAAAATTGGAAATTCACCCATAAGTCTCGTCTTAAAAAATAATTATACGAGAAAGTCTTATGAATTCTGTTGTATACTATTAAGTCTCATTAAATTTGAGAAGAAACTCCATGAGGTACTACTACTATATTTCTTAGAGATTCTAAATGTCGGTATGTTTAATTTGTGCACTATTATTTTATCAAACTTTTACAAAATGTGTCATTCTTAAAATGGGACAGTGAGACATCATTTTAATGTGTACTATTATTTTATTAAACTTTTACTAATATGGGTTCATTCTAATATGTATTCATAAGAATATTTATGAAACTAAATGATTCATAAGTCATGGATATAAGATTTAGGCCTCGTTTGGCAAGAGGCTATTTTAGCCAATTAGCCAAAAAGTTACTAAATTAGCCAAAAAGCCAACAATTCATACCAAAAAGTCAAAGATTCTCTTTTCTCTCTACTTTTTGCACATCTTTTCGTAATTAGCCAAAACGTCATCCCAAACATACAAATTTTTTTTATCTACCTTTTTAGCCAAATAGCCAAAAAGTTACTAAATTAGCCTGTTCCCAAACGAGGCCTTACTAGTAAATGAAAAAAAAAAAAAAATCATTCAGCTTTACTGTACAGAGAAAAATAATAAACCATATTGAAATATCTAAAAATCTTAGAGATATTGATTTGTGATTATGTATCAATTTTAATCAATAAATAACAATCTCAATCAAACAATTAAAGAGAAATCGACACAACGATTTTACGTAAAAAAATCACAATTGGAGCGCCTCTAATTGTGATAAAAAAAAAAAAAAACTATGGGTAAAAGTCACAAAACAATCCACTAAGAAAATACAAAAGAATTACACAAGTGTACTCTCAATTACCTAGCAAATCCACGCTCGAATCGAACCGATCCTTATGCGCCTCTTCCAGCCCCGTCTTCATCTCGGAATTGTTTTGCCCAATGTTGAATCCACAACGCCGATGTCGAATCTACAACGATGAGCCACTCCAAAATCCACCAAGGTTTTAGGCCTAAATTTCACGGAATCCACCGAATAACAAATCTCTCTTTTGTGATTAAAACAAAACAAACAAACTCTTTGATATAATTCACTTAATTCATGATATAAACTCTCACAGATATCAAAGAAATAAGCAAAGAAACTCTAGATAAAAATCCTAATACCCAAAAAGAAGATCTGGAAGTCGTATCCTAAAACTTGACTGAACTGCAGCTTTTATAACAAATAGATCCGCGATCTCCGCTCGAGCGAAGTGACTAAAATGCATGTGACTAAACAAGTTCTACGCTCGAGCACAAAAATGGCCACTTGAGCCCAAAAAAACAATTCTTAGTACTTTTGCAGGCGAGTGAAACTTTTGAAAGGTTGGGATCTCCGTTCGAGCACATGAATGGCCGCTCAAGCGGAAAAAGAACTTCGACTGTAATTTTGCTTTTTGCTTCGGAGGCACTGCCCCTCGACCCCGCCTGGGTGCTGCCCCGGACTCGCTATAACCAGCAAAGTGGCAAACATGAAGGGAATAAAATCACAAACTTCTCTGTAAGGCACAATTCGGGTTGGATTCGCATCTAAATACTCATAACCTCACCGAAATAAAAGGTTGAATAAAATTACAACTAAAAGGAGTTTTGTCAAACAGAATTACCAATAACAAAAACTTAATACATAGAGTTACATAATAGAGGCAACGACTGTGATGTCTAAACTTGCTCACATGTTTATTAGTCTTAATAGAATTTTAGATTTTGTTTTTATATGTGTTTCTTCGTTGGAACCACATGTCATGGTTTGCTATGATGGTTATTTTGGGAATTCTATCTTTCAAATTTAATTTATCATAAGATCGTTCTAAGATTTTTCTAATCTTATCATGATGATCTTCAACTCGATTTTTGATTAACATAAAAATTTCTTTTGGAAACAAAGTTCTTGTTTTTTCAAAAAGACAAATTCTTTTTATTTGTTCAAAAACTGGATCAAAAAACTCATTTGATATGAGGTCTGATAGTTGAAGAAATTTTTTTATTTTTTCAAAATTAAAATCTTCATTCCAATTCATTTGTTTAAGAATATTGAAACAAAGATTTTGCAAATCTTTTAATTTAGCTGTTTGCTTAGCTAATTTGTTGGCCAGAACTCCCATGTGTTTTCGAAATTTCACTTTGTTGTCTACAATGTGAGTTTTCCAAACTCCATTGAGTTCTGTATAAATTTCTCTAGATATACCAAGATTGAAAAAATCTTTTATTTTAGATTCATCTGGTCTAGATGTCTGAATATTAGTTGGAACTGGGTTAGTTCTCATTTGACAAAAATTCTTTTGATAAACAGGCATAGCCGGTGGATTGTAAAAAGCTTTTTTAGCTTTAGTCATGCTATCATATGCTTTATAACTCGCTCCTGAATATCCACAAACTTGCAGATTGGCTTCATTCCAGTCTGTGTAAATTCCAGGTTGTCTTCCTGCAAACACAACATAAACTTTTTCTTCTCTGGGGATTACTTTTTTAGCAATTGTCACCCAATCTCCTTGAGCGGATTGTTTACCCTTATCCATTGTTTCCTCTTGGTCTAGAGGTCTTTTGCAAAAATTAAATTTACTTGTTTAGCAATTTAATTTTCTGAAACAATTTCTGCTAAGAAAATCTACAAGAAAATTGTTAGTACCTTTAAGATGTTCTACTTCAAAAGTATATTCAGAAATTTTATTATACCAGGCTAATCTTCTTCCTTGTTCAATAGATTTTTTATTGATCAAGAAATCTCTTACTGCCTTATTATCAGTGCGTATAATAAAATTTTCTGGGGCTAAATAAATATGAAAACTCTTTATTGCCAATTTTATTGCAAGTAATTCTTTTTTAAAAATAATATATTTCTGTTCATTTGGTTTAAATGTTCCAAAATTATATCCACAAATTAACTCTTCTTTTTGTAATTTTATGGGTATTAGATTTTTTCTTGGTCTAATCCCATTTTCTGATAAAGGTATCTCTTTATCATACCATAAATTACTTGGTATTGCTTTAAGAACACATCCCCAGCATGCTTCTGAGGCATCTGTTTCTAAAATTAATTTATCACCTGTTTTAAGAAGATAAACATTTGATAAAGTTTTAACATTTTCTTTAATTTGTTTGATTAAAGCAATATCTTCTGCTGTCCATTCAAAAATAACATTTTTCCTTAATTTGGTTAACCAAGGAATTTCTATTTTTGAAATATTTTTGATAAAATTTTGTCCACAATTTAAAATGCCTAATAAACTCTGTGTAGACACCCCATTTTTGACCGACCTTAAGACTCAGACGTCACCAACTGAGCGCTCGGTGATGTTGCATATTGTGCTCGTTCTGAGGTTGCGGAGTCTCAGCTGCGAGCCTCGGCTCCGGACTTCGGGACTCTTTTGTGCTTTGCCTCGGTTTGCAAACCAGGTCCTGTTTTCTCTATTTTCTCTTCCCGAAGGGAGGGAGAGGTCTCGTAGACCATCTCTCAGTGGCCGTAGGCTACGTTTCGTGGTCGTAAGCCATTTTTCCTGTTTGGAGCCTAGTTTTCGATTTTCCGAGCCGTCGGCCGTCTGCCTCAGTTCGGGACCGCTTAACTACCTCCGTTTGCTTCGATTTTTGGCACACACCTTGTTTCCTTCATTTAGAGGAACACTGTTGCCCGGGAGACCACCTTCGTGGTCATACGCCACTTTCGGTGCCTAACAGCCTGTTTTCGGGGCCTCGGACTGCGCGTTTTGGCCCTTGAACCCTCGTTTTGCATCCGTCTTGGTCCACCTTTGGTAGGAACCCTATTTTCATTGTTAGGGAGGTGGTAGTATGGTGGGAGGCCACCTTTTTTCCTTGGAAACCAGTTTTCTCTTTTTCTCTCTCCTAAAGCCGGTTTTTCTGACAAAAAACTGGTTTTTCTCACTTTTGAGCCACAATTTCTGGCTTTTCATACCACTATTGTGCGGTGCTCATCTGGGAGGCCACCAATATGGGTAGGCCGACCAGTAATTCTTCTTAACCCTTTTGAACCTTGCTAAAAAGCTAGTTTTTCTCTCTCTTGGGTCACATTTTCTGGTTGCATTTTCTGGTTTTCCACTATACAGCTGTGTTGCACTCATCTAGGAGGCCACCTTTCTGGGGTGGCTGGCCAGCATTTCTCCTTGAACCTTTTGACCCCTGGTCGGCTGGCCAGAGGGAGTGGCCGGCCGACCACCTAAGCTGGTCGGCCAGCTTTCTACTTTTTGCTCTTTTTGAGTGCAACACAACTGTGCCAGCTGTGAAGCACTTAACCCTTCCTCCGGGGTTTTGACCCTCTTTTTGGTCTTTTTAAGTTGGTTTTGGCCCTTTTTCTTAGCTTCTTAGAGAAGCTTGACTCTCTTGTCAAGCTTCTTGAGGAAGCTTTGGTCAAGCTTCCTCAAGAAGCTTGACCCCTTTGGTTAAGCTTCTTTGAGAAGCTTTGACCCTCTCTTAAGGCTTCTCCAAGAAGCCTTGGCCTTCTTCCTCTATAAAACCAACACTTCCCCTCCTTTTGCAAGGGTTAAAAAGTTTTGGCTGGAGCATACATACAACTCCCTCTATCTTTATACTTCAAGCCTCCAAACCCTAATATTATTACACCATTTGCACTACACCTCATAGCCTACCACCTCCACCATCCATTCCAACACCTTGGAGGTCATTTGCAGAGGTTGAGAGCTCACATTCTTGGTCCAGAAGTTGCTGCATTGCTGTGCTACAAGGGTAAGTCTTCATTTACCCTCTTTTTGCACTATTTTGCTCTATACTTTAGCTCCATTTGCAAGCATTTTCGAGATTTTCTATGAATTGAAGAAAGTCTTGTTTTGACCTCCTCTTTAAGTTTGATTGAGGTCACTTTTCTGTTTGGAGTCATCTTCTTCCTTGCATGCTTCATTTCCTCATGCTTTGAGCCATGCATTTGAGCATTTGCATTGGCCTTGTTTTGGCCTCTTAGCCACTGAAATCTAGTGAATCTTCAGTGGCTTTGATATGTCTTTGAGCTCCAAAATCATAGAGGGGTGACCCTCTCACCCCTCATTCTCTTTACTAGCTTTGTTGGCCTTCCAAAGGAGCTCCATTTTGCATGTTGTGAAGTTACATTCCA